AACTGTTTTACCTTCTTATCTCTTTTTGCTCGGCCCCACGCTTTTATCTGGTGTCTCTCAGATTGGGCCTGGGCCTGCACTTGTAGTCATTGTGCAATCAATGCCCAATTCAACATTAACTTGAATTATTTCGAATCATAACTAGATTACTTTTAAAAAATCATAATTAGATTTATTTTTTAATTTTTTTTATTAAATGAATAAAATTGAACCCGACTATCTCATATTAGGTGACCTTGTGATACAAATCTGACATGATAAGAATTCATTGTACACAATACAAATAGATTGTATGTAGATTAAATTAGAGAGTACTGTTTAAAGAAATTCTTAATTTTTTTTAAGGATGCTTTTACATAGCACTCATTTTTCGTATTTTTACTTTAAGGATTAATGCTTCGAATATTTTTTATTGTTTTGGATAAATATACAAAAGGAAAATGCTATTTTTTTTACTGATAATTAAAAACCGAATCCGAAATAATATCTTATATTTTACGGATTCGAATTTAGATGTACTTTTATCCCAATCTAATTATGATCCAATCCAAATTATTTATATATTTCAATATAAATATTAAAAAAATTAAATAGTTATTTAAAAAAATTTAATTAAAATTTAGTTAATTAAGTTATTCAAATTGGATCGAATTTTAAATTGTTAATGAGTTTGAATATGAACCATAAAAATTAAATTAATCGAAGGGTAAATTGTAAGGGGTACACCAAATTAGACTTATTTGGTAAAAAGTATACAATAAAAAATGTAGAGTTATTAAGTCATTAATTTTGATACTTATTTGTATTTAAATACACAATCTGAATTTGCCTAATTTTTTTATGACATTTTTGTCCTCTATTGATTCATATGTATGTTATTTGAAAAGTGGTGCATTAAATATCTCATAGTTTTATAGGAGAACTTTAGTATTTAATGAATCTTGATTCATATGTATTTGTTAATATATTTATATGTGTATTTATATATGTATATATATATTAACAATACATATATACATGTGTGTATATATATATATATATGTATATATATATATATGTATATATATATACAAATATGTATATACGTATAAAATATAAATATATACATATTTATATATATATACGTGTAAAGTGTAATATTTTTAAAGTGTAAAGTGTAATATTGAAAATGTAAAATGTAAAGTATTATTTTATGTCTGACTTTTCTTAATGGAAAGTGTAAAGTGTTATAGGGTAATATTAAAAATAACAATAACAGTGTAGCAATAACAATGTAACAAGTTATTTACACAAGGTAAAGGAAAGATATTACCTAAAGCGTTATACAAATAAAATATATATGTCTCATCTTACACTAAAAATGCTAATTAATTGAGAAAAGTGTGAAAATGTTATACTTTCAATGTTAACATGTAACATTTTACACTTTTCATTAAGTAAGGTGAGACATAAGGTAATACTTTACACTTTACACTTTCAATGTTGCACTTTACACATATATACATACTTGTATGTGTATTTATATATATATATATATATTAACAAATACACATGAATCAATGTGAATTAAATATTAAAGTTCTCCTATAAAACTAGAAGATATTTAATGTATCACTTTCTCTAAAATGACTATTTATGTTTTTGTATCTAACTCGTGTACATTTTTTTAAAATATTTTTTAATATATATTTTTTATCAAATAAATCTAATTAGGTGTATCGACTTTCAAAAACCCCTTAATCGAATCATCAGATTAAATTTGAACTGGACTTTAAAAATCGAATTTAAATTCAAATCGATCCAAATTCGATCCAAATACGCTCGCAGCGCGTAACATCATTATAGTCCTTGGGCTGGGATATGTCTGCAAAACAAAACCTGTTAGCCTGGAAGTATTTGGGTCAACCCAACCAAAATCCCACTGGGTGGCACCAGTTGAGTCCATTCATCGATCCGATCCGATTCGGTCCGCTCCATGAGGAAAGAGTTTCAAACCCTTTTCAACACGACAGTCTCTCTGTCTCTCTCTTTATCTCTCCGGATCTGCCTTCAAGGTCTCTCTCTTCTCCAAATACTCCGATTCTGTGATCTGCCAATCAGGGGAGGTACTTTATTTATGCTTTGATTGTGTTCCGTTTGCTTTATATCTCATTCATCTTCTGACAATTTCTGCTATCAATCAAAGCACGTTTTTGTATGAAGCCATGCATGTATATCTGTTATGTGTATGTAATGTCAGATGGATGTGACATTCACTTACTTTCCATTGCTTAGGAAACAGGACGTTTCAATTTTGATGGTAGAAAGTCTATCTGTACATATAGATATGTAATATGGATGTATGGATGTGACATTCACTTACTTTAGATTGCTTAGGAGCCTGAAAATTCCACTTTTGAATGATTTGTTAAATTGTTGGGTTTTATTTCAAAAAGGAATTTGTTTGATCAGAATAAGGGGCTGTTGGACACTAGAAACAGGTCAGGCTTCACATTTTGAAAAGTGGTTTGGGGTTGTATTGGAGATGGGGGAAGGATTTGGTTTAGTTTGGAATGGTTTCAAATCTACATGCGAACCAATCCAAAGTTTGAGCATAAGCTCGATACTGTTTTTGTGAAAAACGAGCTGAGCCGATCTCGAGCCAGCTTTGGCCAAGCCAGGCCCAAGAAAAAATCCAAGCTCGTGATCAAGCTTGGGCCGAATATGAACACCCTGATATGAACTCGAACCAAGCCTGCGAAAATTCAAGCTCGGGAGGCTTTGCTTGATTGATTCTCCTAATTATGATCTGCCCTCTCTCTCTCTCTCTCTCACCCTCGTGTGCTATAGTTTGATGCTTCTTAAGGATTCTATTTTGTTTCCTTTTTTGGTGTGAATCTACTTTGTTGCTCCTTGTGCCAGCTTTAGTTTGATGTTTCTTAAGGATTCTATTTTGTTGCCTTTTTTGGAATGAATCTACTTTGTTGCTCCTTGTGCCATTTTACTGTTTTTTTTTTGTGTGTGTGTGTATGTTCTTTAAACGTCTGATTGGTTTGTAATGTTAATCTGTATGCCTAAGGGTTTTGTTACAAATGGCCGAACGAAAGGAAAAACAGCCAGTTTTCATCAAGGTTGAGCAGCTTCGCCCTGCAACTACTGGGCTTAACCTCATTGTAAAGGTTGTGAATGCAAAGATGATATTGCAAAGAGGTCGTGCCGAAGGAACTCAAGGACGCCAAATGCGGCTTGCTGAATGCTTGGTTGGTGATGAGACTGCAATGATTGTGTTCACTGCTAGAAATGATCAAGGTATGTTTGTACCTCCTTTTTTTTATAAATTAATATTGCTTTAAGTTAGGGATCACTGGTCCTTGACTTTTTTTTGAATCATGATGATGTTGCTATGCCTTTGTTAACGAATCTTCTGCATTACGTTGTATATGAGTGCCATTGCACAGTTGCTTTGTTGTCGAAATTTCTATGATGTAGAACTTGATATATATTTTGTAGGCACCGTTGCTAGTTGAGTTATTTCCACCTTAGCAGTAATTATAAACCACCATGAGCCTAGCCTGGGTGGCTTCAAGTGGTCTCCAAGAGGTGCTCTCCCTCCTTCCGATCGTGGAATTAAATCCCCCCAAGGCCAAACGGGAAAAAATAGTGATTGGTTGATTTTGAAGTAATCTATTTGACATCTATATATATAGCAGGAAGGGTACCATTTATATTATGGATCTACCATGAATGCTGTTATGTAAATTTTGATCAAATAAAGAAGAGCAAAAAGAGAGAGAAAATATGATAATTACTAAATAAGTTTGTAATACTCCTTAATCTAGAATACACAATATAGGCCCTTATATAGTAGGGCAACAAAACAATGTAAAATGCCTAAACTACCTAGAATATAAATACTTTAACATTCTCCCCCAAACCCATGATGTGGTAACATCAAATATCAAGAGTTTGCTAAGAAGGAAACGAAAGTGTGCGATGATGTGAGATTTCGTAAAGAAACGATCAATAAGTAGTCAACGCAACCAAACTATCTTTGCTGTTGTAAAGGCCATAGCATGAGACTCAACTTCAGTAGATGATCGAGCCACAACAGTTTGTTTTTTACTTTTTCACGAAATAAGAGAATCACCAAGGAAGAGACAGAAACCAATAGTGGACTTGCGATCTATAGAGTCACTAGCCTAGTCCGCATCAGAGTAAGTACGAAGTTCCAGAGACTTAGAAGAAGAAAATAATAAACTCAACAAAAACTCCAAGTATAGGCTTAACAAATTAAGGCCCAAATAGCAATGAGGGTTTCAACAAAAAATCAAAGCCCAACAAAAATCACAAGCAACAATGACCAATAAAACAAAGTCCAAAAAGAAAAGAAGAAAAACCAAACCAGCAGCCCAACAGAAAGAAGTTCAAATCAACAAACCAAAAGGATTAGGGTTGCCCAACAAAAATCATCAGTAACAATGCCCAACAAAACAAAGTCCAACAAAGAAAAGAGGAAAAGTCAAACCAACAGCCCAATAGAAAAGTCCAAATCAACAAATTCAAAGGTTTGGGGTTATCTAACAAAAAACCACCAGCAATAATGTCCAACAAAGTAAAGCCCAACAAAGGAAAGAAGAAAAGCCAAACTAGCCCAACAGAGAGAAGCCCAAATCAGCACCAGCCTAAAGGATTGGGGTTGTCCAACAAAAAACTACCAACAACAATGCCTAAAAAAAGAAAGAAGAAAAGTCAAACCAGTAGCCCAACAGAGAGAAGCCTAAATCAGCACCAACCCAAAACAACAAACCCAAAGGATTGGGGTTGTCCAACAAAAACTACCTACAACAGTGCCAAACAAAACAAAACTCAAATAATCCAAAAAAAAGTGCAAAGTCAAAGTTTTGTTTTCAAACTCAAAACAAGACCCAAATAGAATATCAACGAAGCCAAGTGCAGAAACTAGAACCAAAAGAAGCAGCCAATGCCAAACAGTCAAAAGTTCACCACAAATCAACTCAACGGCTTTGCAAATCAAATATCCATAACAAATTGAAGTTTCTTACACAATAATACAACAAAAATGACATAAAAAATTGAGTTCGGCACTGTTCACGGCATGAATAGTAACTTTGGTACTGTTCACATTATGTGAACAGTATTTTTGGCACTGATCACAGCAAATAGAACCACAAAAAGTCAACAATCACTATTCCTCAAATCCATAGTTGTTAGTATCGTACGATGTGTTACGATACGGATCGTAGTTATGTATCATTTTTGCGTCGTATCGTCCGATACACGATACATTTTTACGATACGATACGTATCGGTACGATACGATACGTATCGGTACGATACGACCGATACGCGCAATACTTTTTTTTTTTGAAACGACGTCGTTTTGTTTAAATAAGACACTAATTTTTTTTGTATAAAAATTTCTGAATCTTGATTAATTTTAATGATTGAGTTCAAAATGGATGTTAGAAATTTGGATTAAAAGTCTCTTTGGTGTTTGAAGTTTGAATTAGTGAACTATGGTTGTAAACTTTGCATTATAATATTAGTGAACTATGTTGATGACTTGAATAGGTGGTGGAGTATTAATGAAATGCTATATTTTTATGAGTGTGTAATTTTTTTTCAAAGGTATATATATTTTTTTATTATTTATTTAAAATTGCATCATATCTTATGATACACTATTTTTAAAAAACGATATGCCTTCTTAGACACGATTTGATAACTATGCTCAAATCACACAACCTAACACCAAGAATCTTTAGTCACACTATTTAGGCATGATACGAAGTAAAGAAGTCGAAGAAAATAGCAAAAAAATAAATCACAATAGAAGATGTCAGCCCTAATTCAAGAATATATTCTTTCTCCAACTAAATTACTGTGGTGCTACAATATATTTTGGATCGAAACCATTCCTGATACCATGTAAATTTTGATCAAATAAAGAAGAGCGAAAGGAGAAAGAGAAAATATTATAATTGCTAAATAAGTCTATAATACTCTTTAACCTAGAATACACAATATAGGCCCTTATATAGTAGGGCAACAAAATAATGTAAAATACCTAAACTACCCAGAATATAAATACTCTAACAGTTGTGGTTTCCAACATTGTGGATATTGGGTGTTGCCAGGTAAGGTAAATAACACCATTATGTTTTGCCCAGATTGTGGCCATACCCAAATATTTGGGTTATGGATGTTTTGTGAGAAATGCCATGCATGGTTTGGGAGGAGAGATCTGTAATATCAATCAATGGCAACCTAGAAGGTAATTTGTGTTTGGTGCCGAATATTGTTCATCCAACATATAGGCCATAGGTTGAACCTAAACAGGGCTGTGCACAGGCTTGAGGTTTTGGCCAGCATTAGTTACTTCACTTGCTAGACCTCATATGTGAGAACTAAGAAACGAATGAAAGCCATGCTAAATGAAGAATTAATAGAGGCTTGCTAGATTATTTAAATAATATTACATTAGTTATGACTCTGGAGCCGTATGAAGGTCTTGACTCTGGAGAATTGTAAAATAATGTAGTCCATAACTTTTTATATGTAAACCATCTTTGGGAATGTTAAATAATGCAGTTCATAACTTTTATGGCAATTGCTTTTTCTTACAAATCCTCAATCAAACTGGATTGCAAGCTTGCTTCCTCTTTGGACATGCTAGTCTGTGCAGTTGAGCAGCTTTAGTGGTTGGAATCTAAGTTTGCCCTACATGATCTCTTCTTATGTAGATTAAGCATCATTAAGTCACATTGGAAGTTTGCTGACTTTACGGTATTTTTTGAAGGATATATTTGATGAAGTGTAATGTTTCTTTTCTTGGAAATTTGTCATTACTATTTGAAAATGCCTAGTTATATTACTATCCTGAATGGATTAAATTTTTTTGAAGAATGAATCCTTTTTTGTTTGTCTTCTTTTTGTTCTTTCCTATGTTGCAAGAAATTTGCTTTTCCTTCTGTAATTTTCTGAATCATGCAAGGTGTTATACTATGTCGGCAAGCATGATCTGAAATTTGCACTTTTTTTTTGTACAACGCTCCTTTGAATACACCACACACAGACATACACTCTTGCATTGGTTTTACAATTTGTTGCTTATGAGATTGTCTCATGTCTAGTGGACTTGATGAAAGATGGTGCCACAGTAATCCTGCGCAACGCCAAAATTGACATGTTCAAGGGATCAATGAGGCTTGCAGTGGACAAGTGGGGCCTTATTGAAGTCACCGAGCCTGCCAATTTCTCTGCGAAGGAAGATAACAATCTGTCGCTGATTGAGTTTGAACTAGTGAATATTGTCGAGGAGTGACCTTTGAACAGGGTCAATAGAGGTAGTAGTATTAGTACGAGTAGTACCTCTCCTACCCAATGAATAATGCGCACGCTTTCTGTTTTTTACAACAGAGTAGGCAGCTGTCTGAACTTGAGCATGGATGGTGAGCGGAGTAGCTTATGATGGAAAGGCGCTTGCTGTTGGAATTTGTTGTGTGCTCGTTTCCGTGTTGTTTTGATCTTACTATTCTTTGACCATACATAATTACTTAGCCAAAACTGCAAACTTCAATCGACATTGTTTTTTTTTTTTTCGCCTTCTAAATGTTCTTTTGTATTTTTTATAATAATTTCTCTTTATACCTATGTTATGTAATCTGGAGATAAATTCCTTCTTACTTAATTAGTTCTTTGCTTGAGTGCTGGCAGAGATGATAGTTTATTTTTCTTTGAATATCAATTCCAATTAGATCTCATGATCTCCATGGTGTATTGAAGTTTGGTCAGTTCTTAATATATATTTACTTTCTAAATAAAGATATCTTACCCTGGCTTGCTGAGAAAATGTACGGAAATAATCTTGTCATGGGTTATCTTAGCCACCCTCTCTCTTTGTGTGTGTGTCATAAAGGAGTACTTAATTGTTATTACTGGTTAGGTTGTTTCTCTTACATAGGGGTGCAACAATGAATGGCAGTCTACCTTGTCTGCAAAGATACTGAATATTACCATGTACCTAATATTGTCTAGGATCATACAGAAGACATGCTACATGAAGTAAGGTAACTTTCTCTCTGATTTTAACTGAATAAGAAATTCTAATGGGCAGGTTTTGTTATTCCTATAATCTTTTTTAGATTGTTATTTGTCAAATTTGCTTTACATCACTCTTGAAACTACAGATCAGATGATGTCAATAGCTTTTTCTGCCTACATTCATTCATGTAAGGCCATGTAGTAAACAAGGCTTCATTGTTGGAGCTAAGAACTACAAATACTTGTTTCTGTCATGCTGTGTCAACTACTTCATATTCTATCATGTTTATTTATTTATTTATTGAAACTTGAGGTTGGGTGAGATGGTGGGTTTTTTCTGGCTGTGTGTGTATGGTGGTGGTGGTGGGGACAGTAGGACCATCCCTCACACAGACACACACACACACATGTATGAATGCTCATTTTGATTATCCTTCACTTGGTGGATGGTCATGATGCTGTGCTGGTGCATAATTGTTAGCCTGAAATCTTACGTGTTGGCGAAATGCTGTCAGTCGGAACTTTCACTCGTAAAATGTAGGGGGTTTTTTTATCTTTTATAGAAGTGCTTATCTCCTTACACAAAAATATAAGTTCCACAAAATACGTCTTAACCAAGAATTCAACTCGAGCAAGATAATTCTTACCTCCATGGTACTTATTTATTCTTATACGTGGACAGACTCTTCTCGTGACTTGCTTAGATAACAATGTAGCAACCCTACCTCTCTTAAGTCTTATATATACGAGCTACTTTAGCCCGTCTTCGGTGTATATTGATAGTGGTATTGAGAGAAAGCGCTCACTTGATATCTTCTGGTATATATCGCAATTAAATTCCATGTGCAGTTGCTTCGGTAGACATAATTTCATGGTAGAAACAGGAAAAAGGGCAAACCTAACTAGCAATGATATATTGCTCAGTTTCACTCTCATGGCAATTTGATTGGAAGGTATAACTGATTCTTTGTCCTCTTCAAACCTAACAATTTTCAGATGGGTCAATTTGTGTTCTTATTTTGTGCAAAAGAACAACTCTAGTATGAGCTCACCATACCATGTGGGATCAAAACAAGGTATATAGGTCCATAGTAGTGGTATATATTCTGGGTAAAATGGATTGAACATAAATTAGGACACCGTCTTCGAAGAAGCAATAATAAGTGACTCGAGTAGTTGATTCCCTGTCATTTTAGGCGGAAACAAGTGCATTGGGGAAGCTATGTTTAAACCCCCGGGTAACTCATAACTTTTTATAGGATGTGCGATACCATCAGATGTTCTAAATTTAAATGTTAACAACTTCTTAACACTAAATTATAAAAAATTTATTCTTCAAAAATAGCTTAGTATTGGTGTAGATAGTCTATCTTTAACTGGATCAGGAAGGAGATTAATTGAAATGCGCGTAAGATGACTCGAATATTCCTGATCGTTAAACAAAAAAAAAAAAAAAGTTATGTTTAATATGTGATGATGCACAAAGTTGATTATACACAATTAAATCAATCGAGTGTGTGGTGTAAAACAATTAATGAAACAGTTGATAATAAGAGACAAAGATTGGGGGATTGGGTCTGGGTGACCTAACAGCTGAAGACAGTAATGGTGGTCGGAGAACTTTATTAATGACAGAGTATAAGATAGTAGGAGAGAGAGAGAGAGAGAGAGAGAGAGAGTACGCTCAAGGTGTAGCGTGTGAGATCTACCCTCATGTTTAGGGAGTTTATAATTTATAGGCACAGAGCCCTAACTGAAGCGGTAATATAAAAGTTAAACTAGTAATTTATCGGGGAGGACAGCTATAGTTGAGGATGAGCATTATCTTGAAGTAATCGCTATCTCGATGATTATTCTTTCACGTGCGTTGATTCTTTCTGAACTCTTGAGTTTTACACTGAACTAAGAACATGAACTAAATCTAACCTGTCTTTTGATGATTTGGACTTAACCCTTGAACTGGGCCTAAGCCCAATTAGACCTGGCTCGTTAATATGCAGATGGTGAAATATTTTCAGTTGCAGGGAAATTAGTTTTGATTTGTTGACACAATATTATTTACTTTCGATTGGCCCACCATTATAAAACGCATTCTATAATAAATATTCAAAACGCACACTTCACACCAAGCTATGTGTGATGAGCCTGGATTTGAAGATTGCTAGCTGCCATTACTCCAATTATTAATGTGATGGATCGGGTTGCACAAATGGCGTACGAACTACTAGACCATCACACCAGACTCGATGGCTTTCATATCATTTGTAACTGTTTTAGGTTAGACACAATTTCAAAATGCATTGTACAATAAAAGACACAAAACTTACATCGATCAAACCCTTCAAATTTTACCAACCAAACGTGGATTGAAGAAAGTTTAGCAAGTTAAGACTTAGACACATCACAATGCCTCCTTAATTTGTATGAAAAGCCTACGAAGCAGCAATTAAATTGCAAGAAATTTGGCTACATGTCTTACTCAGTGCTTACAATCAATGACAGCAGAAAACCAATATCAATGATATCAGAACGTGTGTAGCTGGGAACAGGCTACAGCCGTATCTCTATCAATCTTAACCATTGATTTTAAATTGAATAATTTGAAATCTTTGATTAAAAAACTAATAAAATAATAAAACATAAAAACTTTATACGTGCCACCGTTTTATTGAAAAAAAAATGAAAGTACGATACCCAAAAATAGTATTAAGATACCGTAATAAGTCTCGGGTACCTGGATCATAATTGGAAAGTTTCCCACTTTGAATTGGGATTTCTGATGAGTCTGTCCTTTACAAAGAAAATGACTCAATAGGTGGAATTCACATGGACGATTACTTGTCTGAATTATTTGGAAAATGAATATATATAATCTCTCCTTCGACAGAACAACTTAGATTTATAAGAGATTTTCAAAGGAAAACATTATCAACCTAGCACGTAATTGACTTTTTTTGTATTATGGATAAGATTCTCACTTGGAACTTCAAATTTACTAATAATTTTTTTGTTTGTTTAATGTTGTGAATTTGTCAATAACTTGACAAGAGGCAAAGGCAGCAGATCTAGTCGATCTGTATTTTGTATTTATATATGATTTTCACTGGACAAATCTAGATCGAAGGAAGCTGACAACTCAATTGTCATATTGGTCAAGTAACTAGAAATATTCTTATAATCACATGTTTCTAGAGAGATCATCTAAAAAGCAGAGTCGTTTTGAATAATAGATGTCATGGGTAGGATTTTTTTTCCTCGAATTTTGTTTGCATCTTAGAACTACAAATTTATCCATTTTCCATAAAGGAGCCGAATGAAACAACTGTTTCATGTTTGGTTTTGAATTAGAGACGTTAAAAATGATGAATTAACGTCGATTATAACCCTAACCTTTCAAGCTAACAATGCGGTTTCGATTCCCGCCACCCACTTTACATTCTCCAAATTATATATACTTTATTTATATAAAATGATAGTATTTTTATATACTATTTTGTACTCCATCCGTTCTTAAATATCTGTCATTTTACATAATTTTTTTTATTTCATAATATCTGTCATTTATTGAAACCAAAACTTAATTAATATTTTTTCTTCAAAATTTACCTTTAATTTTTCAATGCATTAAATTAGGTGGAGGCTAAGTGTCTTTCATATTCATTTCTTTCCCAATACGTATTGAATAAAGATATTTTAGTTTTGTGTAATTATTTTTTATTCATATTACACCTATTTAATAACTTTTTTAATCCCTGTATAAAAACCTTAAATAACAAATATTTAGGAACGGAGAGAATATAATATAATTTATAATAAATGATATAATTCGATAACCTTCTTAAATTTACCCTCATCTTTTGGCAACTTTCGCCACAACATTGAATTCCGTAACATCGTGGTTGCCATATGATTCTTGTCTGGTGTCCATCCACTAACTTACATTAACCCATATCTGGGAATCGTAAAGCACAGCTGTATTAGTCCACTAGGTGATTCCAAGAGTTCTTGGGAGCCAAAAAACAAGCATCTTTATGCATAAAAATTAGACAAACAAACTCAGAATAATCAGGACATGGATCTCCTCTTCGCTCACCACACACATACTCACATACACACGAATGATGCCAGAGATGTCAAATTTAGACTCTCAAATCAATAAAGATTATTGAATTAGTGCGTCACGCTAAAAAAAAGTTGATGAAACTTATTCTTCTAATGGTCTCTGCTTATTTGGGATCCTATATTTAGGATTCAAAATATTTTCGCACTTGAATCTGATGG